TCACATTCAGAAGCCCAGTACAACCCATTTGTATCTGATAGGAATTAATTCTTCCCTTCTCAAAGCCACTCCAAAGAAGTTGAGAGCATTTTTACTTGCAACAGGGGATGGGTCTTGCTTGGTGCTGTGGGACAGGACTCTAGAGCCATGCTCAACCCCCCCACTTCACTGGGGGACCAACTGTACCTCTTGCATCGACGCAGGTTTTTGGAGTCAGGAAGAGCATCAGGGAGTTTCTTGCACTCCACACAGAATTTGAAGGTGTCCTCCATCTTTTTAAACATGTCAAAATATGTTCGGATCCCAAAATCTGTCCTCCCTTTCTTCCCGTCCATGGCTGACCTGTGGGAAAGCAGCCAAGGCAGGATGGCTGCTGAAAAGTGAGCTGGCTCCAGCCCGAGTCCCGACCACATCTATATGGGACCTTTCCTAAGGACAAGGACTGGACAAGGGCTGCATAATGTAAGCCACTGGCATCATTAGCAGAAATGGCAGAGAGTGACTGTTGCTTCATTAATGCTGCAATGGTAATGCATTATTAGGGCCTTGGTGCAGTTTTCTGGAGAGGCTTGCCAGAATTTTAATGGAAGCTAGCAGAGAATGTCTTCATCTGAGATGCTTTTAAAAACAGGAGCTTTATCTGTACCTGGGAGGAGTAGGGACTGCTGCTCTAAAGGGGTGTGATGGCCCTGCTTTGGGCATAGATAATAACTAATTATCATGAGTGCAATCAATATTACACTGATGAAAAAAAAGCAGCATGCAGATTAGAGTAACCTCATGTAAGCCCATGGAGAATTACCCTGAAAGAATTGGGTAAAACTCCACAATGCAGGTTTAGGTTTTGTCTGTCTGTGTCCATCTTGGGGTCACTGTTTGTTCAGAGTAAACAGGCTAGTACCTGCTCCTGTGCTGCCATGTGGTGAGGCACTGAGCTATACAGAGCTTCATATCCAGTTTCTGATTCTCATGTAATATATGTCAGTATTGTATATGAGTTGGTTTGAACTGGTAGAGACAGACCTGATCTTGAGCTCACTTAGGAGAGCAGCCTAGGTCACTGGAGATGGCACTTCCAGTCCAGCAAGCTTCCATCTGAGCCAGCTTTGTTTTTCCCTTCTGGTCATGCCCTGCTCAGCCAGTGCAGACAGAGGCCCAGATGTGTTAAGGCCACATACTGTGCAAATGTTATGAGGGCAGCCTGTACCTATGCAGACAAGGTCAGGTAATCTGGCATTACTCACTTGTATTCGTCATAGCTCTTCATGTTGAGCTTTCTCAGGATGACCTGTGACAGACCGGGAATGTTGCTGTCCATAGCCTGGAAGCCCAGAGAGTCCATGTTGGGGCCTGTAACCACAGGCTCCTCAGCAGCCTTCTTCTTAGAGCATCTGAACTTGGATGGAGTGTCCTTGTTCCTATGAGCCATCTCTGCTAGTGCTGGAGATGAGTCAACCTGGAAGTGGTGAGGACAAAGCATAGGAGAACAGTTCTTGCTTGGGATGGGTAAGTGAAGCCTGATCCTCAGGGTCACCTTCTCTGTGTTTCAGTGGGCTTCCCCTGCTACCCCAAGGAGCTGATACCTACCATGCTCTGTGCAGGAATGCAGCACAACTGCTGAGGTCAGGGCTGCTCCTCTTGCTATGCTGGAGATGTCCTCCTGGCTAATAATCTGCAGGGAAGCAGTGGGGGTCAAGCTT